CATTCATGCTAAATGGATTCTTTATGCCTCATACTAACAATATTGTCAAATAAACCCTGAACTATGAAGTATTCTGGCAAAGTTTTAAGGAACTTGGTAAGTGCTACAGTAGTTTCAAAATCACCCAAAAAAATTTGTTAAAGTTAGGTTAATTATTCTCTTAGAAAAAAAAAAAAAATCATGTTAAGTGAAGTAAGTCAGGCACAAAAAGACAAATACTGCATGATCTCACTCATTTGGAATCTTAAAAAACAAAAAGTAGTTCTCATAGAAGTAGAAAGTAGAATAGTGGTTAGCAGAGGCTGGGGGAATGGGAGGAGAAGATAAAGTGGTGGACTAATGGTTGAAAACTGCTCTCTACCCTAAGTGAACCATTATGCAGTGTATGGACATACTGAAACAACACACTGTAACCCACAAATATGTACAGTTAAATGTCAAAATATTTTTAATTAAAGAAAAGAAGAAAAGATGATGAAGACTGCCAACATTCAGAAACTCAGGTTCTCTTCTTATTGTCCCTTATTTTTCATTTTCTGCTCTGCTTAATCAGTGCCTATATTTAATATATCTAATCATTAGAAATATTTTCTAATGCATATTTATGTAGATTTACTTTATTAACATTGCCATAGGGATCCTAGTTAATTATATCTAAGGTTCCGCTCTCATACTTTCAAGCCCCAGTTTAAGAACAACGGAAGTAAGCAATGTTTTCATGAGCTTATTGTATTTCCACTTGCTCTACCAACCCTTAGCAGGATGGTGGATAGTGCTGCCCTTTGACGTTCATGACAAGTTTAGTCTAAGCTAAACTTCTGGTAGTGTATGATCCCAAAGTAAGCTTTCTGGGTCCACAGTTTAAACTCAAAGGAACTGACATCTTACAAGATATTCTTTGAAAATAATACTGGGAAAACGATGGGCATGAGCGTGCTTTCCATGGATCAAGTCTCCAGACCTTGACTCAAGAAAAATGTCATTAGCAAGCCAGTACTTAGGTTTAATTAGGAGACGGATAACCCAAGATCAGTTGGGTAATGAAAGAACTGTCAGGAGCCTTGGACATGAGCCAGAGAAGAACAAGTAATGTCACTGGGTCTCCTAGAACCAGTCAGGGGTCTAACACCTTCTTAGAACCATCTTAAATCTTCCAAAATGAAGGAATCAGAAACTTGGTATAAACCTTTTAAAACACTGGAAACTTTTAATCTAAGTGTGTTTTCTCTGTCAAGCTAACCTGTTTCACAACCTAGAATCCACTTGTAACTATAAGAAAAATGGGTTAATATAGAACCCAAATTTAAAATATTTATTATAGTTTACACTTATCAAGGGAAAAAAACATGCACAAGGTCATTTAAATACCATAGTTCATACAGATAATTCAGCGACCAGATTGTAAGGAGAATCAGATTTTGCCTATAAATGACAGGGTGACCTACTCCTATATATTTACTTATTTTTAAATGTCATTTTATGGGAATTCCAATTCTTGGAATATGGAGTAGTATAGTTTTGCCTATTCTCCCTGCTAAGTACAACTAAAACCTGTGGAATAATGTATAGAACAAACCAAAAGAGATTCTGAATGGCAGAGAGAAGATAGAGAGCAGTTGCAAAGACTTTGGGACCCAAGCAACATCATGGTGGAGAGTTGTCTGGGTTTTCTTTTTACCTTATATGTCCTAGTCATGTTGCTGAAGGATCAACAACCTAGAAATACCAAGTGGTGCAGGAAATTTTTTTTAAACTTGCCATTAGAAGCCTGCTCTCTCTAGCCAAAGGATGAGGAAAGAAGCAACACAATAAGACAGAAATACGTTTATACAATAACAGTAATGCTGTACCCAAGCCAAATACCATAGAAAAGACTATGGCCCCACTTCCTTCTAGCCACACTGTAATGAGGTGCCCCAAACCCTAACCAGGATGGTTTCAGAGAAGACCAATTTAGGGCTCTTGAAATTTAATCCTTGTCAGATAGTACCAAGTCTCTCCCTGTTGTATCAGTGGAGACCACATGGGGAGCCTGAGTTTCTACCCCACTAAGCAGTAATGAGGAATCTCACCCACTCCCGGCAGGGATGGTGTCAGAGATGGCTTAGTGGACAGTCAGTACTTTCACTAAAGTCCAGTGATAACAAGGCACCCCATGCCACGAGCACACACACTAATGTTGCTGGAGGTCACATGGGGAGCAATAATAAGGCTTACCTACTCATCCCAGCCAGAGAGGCATCAGGGAAAACCTAGGGGAAAGCTGGAGCTCTCACACACCTGGTAGTGACAAGTAACTCCTCTATTCTTAGGTTCAATGGGGGCTAAATGGGGAATCTGGATTTCTATCCCCAACTAACTGTATTGAAGCAAACACCCCCAATCCCCTGCTTGGACAGTGTCAGAGGAAAAGTTAGAACAAAAGGTTTAAATAAGGTTCATTCATAACATAATACTTAAAATACCAGGTTTCCATCAAATTCTTTTATACCAACAAACAAAATATTTCAAATTGAATGAAAAAATATAATCAATAGATGCCAACACTAAGATAAAAGAGATGTTAGAATTACCTGACAAACATTTTAAAGCAGCCATTATAATAAAAGTGCTTGAAGGAACAATTCGACATTTGAAAGGAAGAAGAAAATACAAAGTCTCAATAACAAATAGAAAGTCTTAGCAAGAAAATTAAAGATATGAAGAAGAAATGAATGAAAATTTTATGACTGAAAAAATACAATATCAGACATAAAAAATAAATGGGTACAATAACAGAATGAAGGGACTGTAGAAGATATTTGGTGAACTTGAAGATATAACAAAAGGAATCATATAATTTGAACAATATACAACATAGACTGAAAAAATAGACAGAGAATTAAACACTTGTGAAATTGTAACAGAAGATCTAGCATTCATTTCAGTGAAATTCAGGAAGGAGATGAGAAAAAAGACAGGGATGAAAAAGTATTCAAATAAAACAAAAATAACATTATCTGACATGATTCTAAATAGAGAGGAGATAATAAGACATCCATATAATAAGCAGGGGAATATAAAGGGACATAAAATGAAGTAAGGTTTCTGCACTTAACTCAAATTGGTAAAATTATTACACCAGTAAACTGTGATAACTTATGTGTGTGTGTGTGTGTGTGTGTATATATATATAAATATATATACAAATATATATATTATAAATATATATACAAATGTATATATTATAAATATATATATAATATATACCTAAAGAAATCATTAACAAATCTATACACAGACATATACTCAAACACTAAATAAGTCAAAATAGAATTATAAAAATTATTTAAGAAACACACAGGAAGGTAGATAAGAAAAGAGGAAAATGAAAAACAAAGAACAAACAGAAAACAAAAAGTAATCAGGCATTTAAGCCATAATACATCATAGATTACATTAAATGTAAGTGGTCTAATTACACTAATTAAAAGACAGAATTAAAAGACACTAATTAAAAGTACACTAAAAGACAGTGGTTTTAAAAATGTGACCAAATCATACACTTTCTATAAGAAACTCACTTTAAATATGATATAAACAGGTTAAAAGTGAAATTATGGAAAAAGATATATCATGCAAACATTAATTAAAAGAAAGTAGGAGTGGCTATATTCATATCAGATAAAACAAACTTAGGAGCAAAGAAAATCATCAGATACAGAGAAGAACATTATGTATGTTAAAAGGGCTAATTCACCAGACACACATGATAATTCTAAATGTGTATGTACCAAGCAACAGAGACAAATAATGTAAGAAGCAAAAACTGATAGAACAGGAAAGAGAAGTAGACAAATCCGCAATTATAATTGGAAACATCAACGTCTTTATTGAGCACCTACCATGTTCAAGGCACTCTGTGAGGTATTTTGCAGCAATAGTAAAAAAGAAAACACAGCCCTGGCCTTCATGAAACTCATGGTCTACTAGGGAAGATGAATACTAATTAATTAGAAAATTGCTTAATTTGCTGGTGTAATAAATGCTACAAAGGAATCTCAAAAACACTAAAAGTTTAACCTTGTCTGTTCAAAATGATCTACTTTAAATACCAGCAATAAGTAGACAAACCCATAGAATTTAATAGAATCCGTAATTCTCCTGTTGCGTTTTCCAAAGATAATGAAGAAATCCATGTTAGCCCAGCGTAGGCTGAAAGTCCAACCCACAGCTGGAATACAACCCACAGCCAGAAAAATGGAATTCTCTGGATGCCTCTAATATGTTTGTTTTTCCCAATAATGCAGTTCACACTGACTAAGTATCTGCCATTCCTCCTGCTCTCCAGTGTCACCTGGGAGGCTTAAGGGACCTTGAAGAACATAGTATAAACATGGTATGAGAGGTGTGGTGGCGGGGCAGTGAAAGCAAGACTTACCCCAAAATGGTAGAAACCATCAAGACAAAAAGACGGGTTGACTTACCACAGTATAGATCTGATGCTTTCGTCTCTTGGCCAGGTCAATTATGTTTACTCCATTGTAGTAAAGGTTTTCAATACATCCATGGAAGTTTTTCTTTAAAAAGGTCCCAGGTTTGCCTGGTACTGGAATTCCTCCAAAACTAAGCTTTATGAAGGGAAAAACGGAAATCAACTCTTAGTTATAAGCTCTAAAGTAATGAGAGAGGAAAATAAACAAGTGCATTTCAGTAGATCCAATTGTATGCATGAGCCAAGTGGCTCAAATAATTATAGATGCCACTTGATTACACATTTAAAAGGATACTGATTAGCTCATGTAAAAATAACCGTAATTGCTTGCTTCTTAAGGGCTTATTTTACAAAACCATTTTTTTCACTTCCTTTCCGAACCTTTATAATACTAAATTAAACAATAATTTACAGAAGGAAAGAAAAAAGAAAATCAACCTCTTTATATTTATCTCTTATGCAAGCATCTTAGAGAAAATGGCCATATTAAAGCTACTGTACAAACAAAACATACTTCTGTTCAGCTACAGACAGACCTAATTTAAAAGCCTGCATTGTGCCCAAAAAATCTTATGCATAAGAGTATTTCCAAACTGTTGTCTATAAAGGTGAAAAATAGGAAATAATCCAAATGTACCATACAATTTTGTAAGACAAATAATCAAGAATCAATATGATGCAATGCTACTTAGCTGTCCAGTAATAATTCTTATTAAACATTTATGATAAAATGAGAAATAAGTGCAATGTTGATTTAAAAATGCAAGTTATAAATGCATGTAAACTATGATGTTAGCAACAAAAAGTTGTGCATACTGTATAGGCTGGAGGAAACACACTGAACTGCAAATGGTGGTTCTTTCTGGAAAGGTTATGGATACTAGTTTTTTTCTTACCACTTTTCATTCCAGTAAATATTAACACAGTTTACTTTTTTTTTTTTTTAAATGTGGCCGGTAAGGGGATCGTAACCCTTAGTTTGGTGTCGCCTGCACTGCGCTCAGCCAGTGATGCCATCCCTATGTAGAATCCGAACCCGCGGCGGGAGCATCGCTGTGCTCCCAGCGCTGCACTCTCCCGAGTGAGCCATGGGATCGGACCCACAGTTTACTTTTTAATGAATATATTATCTAAAAAATATATTTCTTGTTATGACTACTTTTTCTATTATGCAAGAGAAGAGGATAGTTTCTGTAATCATGTTATGTTATTTAATAAGTAACTAAGTCTTTTTCCCACTTTCACATTTTGAAATGTCACCTTCAGCAGGTACTTAAACTGTATCAATGTTTAGATACCTCTCTATCTCTCTCTCTGTTGCTCTCTCTCTCACGATGTTTTGGGAGGAAGTGTTCTCTCAGTCAGAATGTCTTCTCCTTACATAAATATCTACTGATATACCAAGGGCTTCTTGGTATA